TACTTTTCTCACACCTGAAAAAATGTACAAATGCAGAAATATTGTATTGATCTTTTCAATTCTTGCCATTGGAGTGAAATCTATGGTCAATGCTGCTAAGTCACTGGCAATGCAAAACAGTATAAGCAACCCAAAAATTGTGTGAAGCCAGAAACCAGAGATCACGGAGACTTCCCTGGGGTGTCTGCCAAGAGGAGAGCAAAAGCAGGAAGCTGTGAAGCCCCTTAAGGAAAAGTAGCCACTCGAAGGAACAGCAGCAGCATGCAAACCCAGCGGCAGCAAAAGAGCCAGAGACAGCCAAGAGGTCACCTGGGGACCCAGCACCAAGCAAGCCCCCATCAGGGGGTCACTGACTTAGAAGCAGAGACCCATCCTCCTCCCCCAAGAAAGTCTTGGCATAAGTAAGAAACACATGGGCCAGAAAGCATAAGCTGAAATCAAAGTTTTATTGAGTAACGACCGAATTACTTAACTATAGGGAGAGAATTAAAGGAGGAAAACCAGCACATGCCACACAGGATATGACTCCATCCCCATCCCATGCTCTCTCACTGATGAAGTTTAATGTTTTTTTGTTTGTTTGTTTGTTTTTTAAGATATTTATTTATTTATTTATTTATACAAGCACTGGGTACAGTCAGAAGCGCTGGAGGGTGAGAGAATTCACCAGAGCCAGAGCGGGGAGCAGAGCAGGCAGTAGGACCGAAGTACACTGCTGAGGGGAGCAGCGGGCAGCAAGAGATGTCTGCGCGCCATGTGGGTCGCCTCCCTGGCCAGGGATCGAACTTGTGCTACAGTGGCTGCTGATGGCTTCATAGTACTGAGACTTAACCCCTTGTGCCACCAGGGAGGCCCCTAACAAACATTTCTTTATCTCTCCCTGCCTGCCAGAAATTAAACTACAAACTGAAAAATACTGCCTAGTCACTTGCTTTCTACAAAGTTATAATTGAATGGGTTATTCTTTTCCTTATCCCCAAATTGTAGCTTTTGAACTGAAGAAAGCCTAACTTTAATTAAGATTTTATTTCTCTCTGTCCCTTATCCTGCATGGTTTTATATTCTTTCTTAGATAAAACAGCGGTTTTATATGCCTCACTTACATGAGATCACTGTCTGTTCTGTAACTAGTTTGCATAATGGAATTAACATAGACCTGGAGGTTTTGAAATTTTGTACTTTCCCAAGCTCCAAAAACATTCCTGTTATGTTAACATCTTTATATTTGAGTTTTTATAATATAAAAATGAAAAGGATAAGTTATCCATGTTACCATTATATAAAATCGATCATTACTAATATACTAAAATATTTGCTTCAAGTTAAAAACATTATTTTGGGGGAAACTTACTTAACAAAGAATTGAAACAAACAAAAATATTAAGATTAAAACTTTTTTTTTAATTTTTAGAATCACCTCAAAGTTCCTCCATACATAATCATTAATAAGTAACCACAACAGAAACAATAATGGCCAAGAGTTTTTCAAATGTAATGGCAGAGCATAGATCAAAAAAACTTAGAGAACCCAATGCAAAGAAAATCACACTAAAGCCTAAATCACAAACTCCTAAAAATCTAAACTGGAAATTGTGAGCAATGTGGGGAGGTGAAGGGAATATGAACAGTTTAGACACCATTACCTGCATGTTTTATCAGTTGTCATTAATCAAGATTCTCTGCCAGAATATAAGACAAATATTAAAAATATAGCCCATGTGGAGTCAATTGTCAGGTTGTTCAACTCAATAATATTTATCTTAGAGATTAATTTCTGTATGGGTGTGTTCATGCTTGTTGGCGGAAGACATAAATTCTCTAACACTAGATTCAATTGACTGGGTGCAGGAGAGCAGTAAAACGTGGAAAAAATAGTGCACTGATATTTCACTTTATTTATTTATTTTGAATATGTATTTATATAAAATTTAGGGATTGGGCCCAGGGCAACTGCTACATGGATTCATTTAATACATTTGGTATTTTAACCACTTTCCTGTAACCTTGAAAGAGTGACAGGGTCATAGAGACAAAGAGGGTTGCTGACCAAGGCCGATTGTGTACAGTTACAGCTTGAATATCTGGAGTTTATATGCTTCTCATGTCCTTTTTTAAAAGTGCTGCAAAGCTAACCTGCTCCTAGTTGAGTCTGTGTCTTTATCCTGAGGCAGGACACCTTCAGGTTTCAGATGAGTGCTCTGCATCAGTGTGAAGCTCAGAGACTTCACTCCCTTCAAAAACAAGCAGCTTAATCAACTTCCTTCTTATCATTTCCCTGTCACCACTTCTGGGTTAAATTTGTCAAGTGAAATGTTGTGTCTCCCACCACATGTAGAACTGATAGAAATTATTGAGGTAAGGAGCCAAAATCTCTTCTACTTATCTTACTCCTTGATGTCAAGAACATTTATTAACTCTCTTAGACAATTGTGGTCTCATTTGTGGCTCACTGAATTTTTGCTAATAACCTTAAATTCCTGAATCAAAAGAAATATAAACTGGACCATAGTGGGTATAGGCAATTCAGATACAACCTATTATGGTTCTTTGAAAGTATTTTTCATTGCTGTAATTAGCCACAAAATAACCAAAATAGCAATCAATGCACAGAGAGGATTCCTGCTTCTGTTAGCATCTCTAGGTAAAGAACAGATGAATTATATCCTGCTTCTAAAAAATTGACCTATTATTTTGTAGCATGTTTTTTATTTTGTGAAAAACTTAAGAGCAGGGGTCAAACATTCTATACTGCTAGCTTCGTGGGTGCTCAGCATATTGGATTGAATGTTGTTCTAGATTCTTTCTTAAAATTCTTACATAGACTGGCATAGAAATGAGAGCCAGAAATTTAACATGCAGTGTTTGGAATAAGGACTTGCTTTTCTCTGAAGTCAGAGTAGTCAACCTCTGAAGTCAGCCAAGTACTTGAGATAAGGAAGGTTCCTTTTCTGCATTGGCCCAGCCTGGGCTGACAAAGGCAAATGTCATACAATCTGCATTTTTAAACATTCTTTCCTCTCCATTTTCATAGTGTTTATGTTTTCTGGAGCACATCTAAAAGATTTAAAGTATTTACTGTACATGTAAATATACTTTTAAGGGAAAAAAAAAACAGATGTAGTTTTCACATGCGCGTTATTCTTAGCAGACAGTTTCTTTCCCCAAGCACAAAAGACTAGATATAAAAACAAACAAGAGAATGTGCTGCCTGCACAAATGGGTCCTTAGAGATAGATTTTTAGAGCATGATTTTTGTTTCCTGATCTAGCTTTTACCCTATCACTTGGTAACACTTAAAGAAATCTGACATAAATCATAACATTCTCAGAGTTTTTAAGGCTCACAGTTTAATTCTTTTTCTGTTTTGCCAGTTACTATGGTCAATGTGATTAAGTCATACCCATGTGAAAAATTATTTACACGAGAAAAATTTTGGTTATGCATATGTGTTTTTAGTAAGATTCATTTCTGCTAATGTTCACAACATCAATTGCAGGTTGAAACTAATTCATTTATCCTACATACTGTGGGATATTATTGTTTCCAAAAACCAAATAACCCTAATTCATAAGGAAATAAGTGTTTCTGTTACTAATTTTATATCATGGTTAGAATAATTACATTTTAAATTTTTAGCTGATAAACAAGTGATTTTAAAACATGTTCGTTAGAAATCCAGCTCAGAAAGAGATCATCTAGCAGAAAAGAGAGAAAGGCCCTAGTTTAGAGTAGTCTTCCAGAAAAGGCAGCAGAGATCAAATGCTAACATGCCTACCTTACAGGCTGTTTCTAATTTCATTTTATAGGTTGTAATTCTTAGGCTCTGATTATTTTTAATGGATTTTTTACTATTTATACCAACTTGAAACAACTTTCAAGTGCACAAGTGTATTATTTTCCTTATATAGTTTCTATACTCCTAGAAAAGTTAGGAGCCAATGAAGATTGCAAATTTCACAAAATGAAGGTACTTATTTTTGTTTTACTTAAACAAAAACTTGGCATTAACTCCTTTTCTTGATACACGGTATGTCCTGATTTTATTTTTGTAGATTAAAGAATTCTATTAACGAAGGAGATTCTTGCTTGCTTCCCAAACTTAAACAACAGGATTAACAGACACAAAGGGTGCAATTTAACACATTTTATTGGCTGAGCGAAAAGGTCAAAATTACCAAGTTTTACAGAAGCACTATTAGAAGTATACAGTAGATCCCTTGTAGAAATCATGAAGGAAAGCCAGTGTGGGCAATGCCTCAAACAAAAATACAAAATTGTGTTGCTGTCTGTGACAGAAGCAGAGCAATTGTCAAGAGTTTCTCTTGGTTGAAAAAGAATTCAGAGGACTAGCAGATGTTTACAAATGCCCAAGATAGTTTTGTTCTCATATAGTATTTACTAAAAAGCAAGGCATTCTATAAATCTTAAGTAATCCACAGAATTCCTCTTAGTCCCTATCCAGTGATTTTGTTTTCAAATGAGGTATGTGGGTGAGATATATAAACAAAATCAGAAGGCTCAATTGAAGTGCTAACTTCCAGAAATCTATAAGGTCGTTTTGCCATTATTACCTCACTTCTACCATTTTGCTAAGGGAAAAAAAATGAGAATAAATGTGATAGATGGGGAAAGACTGATTTTTTAGAAACCAAGATGTTTGCTTTCTAAAGCAAAACTTACACAGCTAATCAGACAGACTTCTGCAATTTTTTGTGTATAAGAAGGGCTAGATTTCAGAATTACTTATATTCTACCCAAGAAAACCACTGATATGTTAGTGGGAGGGCAACTTTCCCTAATGATGTTGAAAAACTTTTTTGTGACATTTGGAAATTTGCAGTAGTCTCTTGCTAGTCTTCTGTCATGTCTTGTAATTTTCATCTTTTGGCAGAATTGGAAAATACTTGCAGAAAATCAGCTATGCTTACTTACAACCACATTTAGTCTTCAGCTATGATAGCAATACTTCTTTAATGTTCTGGTGTTCCTTTCTTTCACAGGGACTTTATGTGTTTGTGGTTTATTTCATTCTCCACAACCAGACCTGTTGCCCTATGAAGGCCAGCTACACAGTGGAAATGAATGGGCACCCAGGACCCAGCACAGCCTTCTTCACACCAGGAAGTGGCATGCCTCCTGCTGGAGGGGAAATCAGCAAGTCCACCCAGAATCTTATCAGTGCTATGGAGGAGGTACCGATCTTTGCCTTGCTCTTCTCCGTCTCTCTTTATCACATACAGACACCCCATCTCATAAACTGTACAAAGTTAAATGGTGCTAGGTCACTTTTGTATCCTTTCCCTACTGACATCCTTTGTGGTATTTGATTTGCTTACTGTGCTATCACACCTGTTATCTACTTCTTTTTTATCCCTGCCCTGTGAGCTCTACCAATCAATGGTGTGTAATGAGAAGTCATAAAATTTGATACGGCAGTGACTGCGAATGCTTCAGAAATGTTTCTTAAGTACTGCTTTTCTTTAAAAGTTACTTCCATAACTCTTTTACCTTTGCACTTTGTCAATCTCAAAAAAAAAAAATGCTCAGTAAAGAGGAACTAAGCCAAAGCTCCTTTAATTTGAAAACCAAAAATTATTTTAGGAAAAAAACTCATAAGATTGTTTCAGAAAATCTAGCTAGGATGTCCTTTATAAACTCTACTTCCCATTGCTCTCTGCATTCTCACTGCATCATTCTGGATTCCTGTATCTCAGTCACAACGCCAGCAACCTGATAGTAATGCCTCCCACAGCTCTGGGACTATTGGTCACATTTTAAAATATCCCTGAAAGAGATGGTAATGCAGGTCCCTCATAGTTTCTGTAGTGCCTGAGATTCACTTGTCTACCATACTTTCCATCGCTCATATACCCTCTCTGTATTAAAGAGCTAAGGGGAATAGTATTTATATTTGCATTCTGAAGAAAATGGCAGGAAATCAAAGTACATCTGTCTTAGAAGGAAACAGTTTATAGATAAGTAGATAGATAATTAACAAGTCCAAAGACAATTTTGGTTTCCAACATTAATGTAGAAAGTAATTTTATTTATGCCAGGTTAAAATTAAAGTAGGCAATCAAATCAAGTACAATATTTAAAAATTGAACTATGTCTAAATTGCACTTTAATGTTTAGAAATATAGTATAATTTCTATATCCCAAGAGTTCTTAAAACTGAATTATTTTACATCATAGTTGATACTGATAGATACTTTTAATTAATAATTCAGGCATGAATCTTTTTAAAAAAATGTATTTTTTTAGTCATTATTCAACCTAGCATTTGTCTGTCTCTGAACTGTGTAATACACTAGCCATTAGGTACGTGTGGCTACCTAAATTTAAACTAAAATTAAACACCATTAAAAATTCAGCTTTATCAATCATCCTGACTATATTCAAGTGCTAAAGAACCTCATATCTGGTAGCAAATGTATTGAAGAACAGATATATGGGTGCTTTGGTATTGGATATGCTATGGTAATAATACCTGAATGGGGGGGCCGGGGTTCCCATACTTCTAAAATAAATGATGGTGTATACATCTCAGTAAAAGACAGTAAGAAACAAACTTTTAGTAACATTACAAAGTTCTTTTAGTGTTGGAATAGATGTTCAACTTAGTGAAATATTTTAACTTTTCATTATTTTTCATTTATTTCTAAAATTCTCGGGTCACTGTTCACTCATTACAAGGTATCCTACAGTCTCTCAGGAAATCTTATATTGGGAGTCAGCAGCTGTGACAGTCAATTCTTGGGCCAGAGCCACTTCTTGAATGTTCATTTGGGGTGTTGCACAATGAGATACCCTAAAGTATGCTCTGCATTCCTTGGAGGCTTAGTATTGGCATTGATCCAGCTGTCAATGAGTGCCTGTCAAAGCCATGCTAGAAAGCCATGCAGAGAAGGGAAAGCATTAGGAAAAGATTAAGTGGCTGTTTACCAGTAATGTAGAAGAAAGTGAATATATTAATCATTTCAGGATAGAACTATCTGTTTAATCATTTAATCAAAAAAGGAGGAATTTAGAATGCTAAATTAAAGACCTTGTTTGTTTTTTTTCAGTTCAGTATGTCCTTATAGATAGCTATTATATTTAAAATCCCATGTTCTCTCTTAAAGATGAGGGAGGTTTTTCTTCAGTTCTTATATTTTTAACAGCTTTCTTTGCACATATGCTAAAAAGTAAAGTATCAGTTGGGTTAAAACAGTTTTCTCTAACCACATTTAACACCATAGAAATGTAAGTAATTCTAATAGAGAAATTATTTTGGATAACCAGATTAGATTGTTACATGGGGAGAACACTTTTCTAAGGAGTAAAGGAAAGCTTAAATCTCTGAACTCTAAATCATTCAGAAGCATTTTCACTTGGTCTTTGTAATGAAATGAGTTTTATTTTCCAAATGAATTTCAGAGTAGTCTGTATATATTCATATTATCTTGGTTTCCTTTTTTCCCCACCCCAACCCACAAAGGTACCACCTGACTGGGAGAGAGCATCCTTCCAACAAGCCAGTCAGGCCAGCCCTGACTTAAAATCAAGTCCACAAAATGGCACCACGTTCCCTTCCTCTGGATATGGCCAAGGGTCACTGATAGCTGATGAGGAGTCCCAAGAATTTGATGACTTGATATTTGCATTAAAAACTGGTATGTATGAACCCACAAACCACATTAGAAGTAGGCACTCCTGCCATGCTACAGTTTATGTATTCTTCCCACGAAGTTGCAGAAGTACTGTCAGCTTTAGCTCATCCTAATTCTCATGACCCATTCCTAATCCCAAACAAACTCTAGGATATTTTGTTTGGGGCACCAAATATAACACAGCCTAAAAATAATTTATAATTTGCTTTTATGAAAAGGGCATACTCTTTTTTGCTTTATGAAAAGGGCATAACTAAATGTAACTTCTCCCAGAATCTTGCTAGAATACCGAGCTTATTTTGAAACAAGTTCAGTATAGGACAGTCTGGTAGGAATTTTAGTGAGGGAGTTTTGCCTCTAACTTGTGAAAGAGACCTTCTTGTGGAATATCTTTGAACCTTTCAAAGTCAAATTAATGAGCTCATATATATAGTTTTATAGTTTTCAGAGTACCATCATTACATATATTATTTTATTGATTCTTCATATATTTATCATTTCCACTTACTCTGTGATCCCAATAGATAGTAGTTTTCAAATGAAATACCAAGTTTTACTTTTTCCTCAGAAGGAATGTTAATCTGTTATTGTTAGAGAAATTTCAATGACCTTTTCATTTCTATATGTACAAACAAAAAGAGAAGATAGGTCCATGCTCAGATGAGTCTATTAACATAATTATTGAAAATATGCATTTGCTGCATATCTGGATTCCTTGGCACTGGAATTGTAAAAGAATGAATGAAAGGATAAAAAAAAAGAAACTTAAAGTTTGATGGAAGAAATACAAATTCACATGAACATGACATAAAAAGAATAATAAGTAGAAAGAGTTATTAATTATTAAAGGGATTAAGAAAAGTTTTTTAAATCCTCTCAACTGATTCTTAAAAATGTGTAGCTTTTAAGTAGGTAAGGTGGAGGAAAGGCATAGATTGAGGGAAAATATTTAGTCATAGCCCAGCAGTTCACCAGGGAAGAACAAACCCTGTAGTGTGACTGAGACAGAAGGGGTGTGGAGCCCCTCAAAATTAAATAATTAAATAATCATTAAATAACTCAATAATTAAATTATTAATCATTGTTAATAAACCCATTATAACATAATTAATAATGTATGATTGTTATAATAAGCATTATTATTGCAAATAATTTATTATAGTTTGCTAACTGGGTGCCAACCTGCGTCCTCCCTGAGATAGCCATAGTCATTTTCAGTGGGAGGATTCTCTGACCAAGTATATTTGGGAAACTGCAGAAATTCACTATTTATATTAGCACTTCAGCAGATCTAAAAAAACTGCTAGTGTGAAGAAACCCACTTTATTTAATTTGATTTAGTTTCATTTGTGGGGAGAACACTTGCTTAACATTTTGCATAATATTAAAATGTTCAGATGCCACATAAGGGGTGGGATTTTCACAGAAGCTAGTGTACTATTTGAGGAGAGGCCTGACCTGTTCCCTCTGGTTTTAAGGCAAAATTACTATTTAGAAGCAAAATCAGCATGTTGTGAGGTCATGACAGTGGTCTATGAAAATGGTCTAAGGTCTCAATTCTGAGGAATGGAAATAAAAATGAGAAGAGGTCCTCTGAGGAGATGGCTGGTTCTTCTCACCTAAGGTGATTTAGGCATCAGATCATATGTAGAGAATGTGTTTACTTGTTTGTGTGGGAAAACTGATGAGTTCCGATTTGGACATATCGATCATCAGCTCTTAAATATTCAGGTTGACATCTTAGACCAGTAATCAGGGCCAGAGGTAATGATTTGAAATATGTCATTGCAGAGATTACATCAGAAACTGTGGGGATAAATATTTTTGATCTAGGAGAGTGGGAGGAGATCAATGAGAAGTAAAGAAAAGAGGTAAGTTAGGGAGAGGAAGGAAGGGAAAATACAAGGCAAGAGAAACAAGGACAGCCTAAATAATACCTACATTTAAAGAGTTCCCACAGGGGAATCTATAACATAGTCAGAAAGAGAACTAAAGAGGAAAGAGAGTTTTACAAAAAGAAGGAATGAACAGAAAATACTCACTTGAGTGGGGCCTCCCCGGTGGTGCAAGGGCTTAAGACGCAACATATGAAGCTGTCCGCAGCCACTGCAGCACAAGTTCGAACCCTGGCCAGGAAGGTGACCCACATGGTGCAGCAGACCTCTCCTGTCTCACCCACTGCTCCCCTCAGCAGTATATTTCAGTACATCTACCTGTTCTGCTCCCCACTCTGTCTCTGATGAATCCTCTCACCCCCTGTATCTCTGGCCTGTACCCCAGCTCTTGTAAGGATAAATAAATAAATCTGTAAAAAAAAAAAAATACTCACTTGAGTTAGAACAGAAAAGGGAACTTTGAGATTACAAGTAATTCTCAGGCGATTTTGTCCTCAGTAGTGCCAAGTAGTCAGTTGTTGATATTATGACACTGGAGACATAAAGCAAATTCTTGAAGCTTAATTAAATTAGCTGTGGGTCCTATATATATATACCTAACAAGTATTAAGTGCATGCAGCTCAGGAATGTATGGAATGACTTGCTTATAGATAGAGTTTAACATTCTTTAGAGTTCACTAAGCTGCTTAGGAAATATATAATTTAAAAGACCAAAATAACCGTCTCTATCATTAGTTACCCATATTAAAATTTATTATCATAATCAAGCACCATTGCCTAGACACTTCCCATAACAGAATATGGTCAAATCAAGGAAACAATCCTCATGCCATCCCATCTGTAACAGAATTTAGAAATGACACACAGGCTGTTTTTAGCCCAATAGGCCATTCTGTTGGACCCTTATTATATTTTATCATTAACGTTAAAAGTTTTTGAGATATTCCATAATATTCCTGAATTTCTGTAAAAAGGTCTAGCAATGGTGTGCTTAAAATCTAGCTTGCTTTTAAGTGATTTCCAATCACTATTTGATTGGAACTAAGTAATAGCTGCAATTGAGACGGAGCACGAATGTTTTGCTTGGTTCAGTGCTCATCAGACGTGTGCCTCTGGTATATACTAGCCTCCCTGGCTGCTGTGATCTTTGAGTTTACAAACCATGATCGAGCTCAGGTCTGCTTGAACGATGGATCACTCCAAGTCAAGTATTGGAAACAGTGGGTCTTCCAAATCTTTTTATAACCATTGAAACCATTTCCTCTGCCCTTTAAATCTCTCAAAGATCTCATCATCTTTTAATCTGATAATACTGAAATATTCAAACACATACTAAAATACTTATATTAACTCAATAGGTAGAATACCTTTACTTGGGTGCAGTGAGAGGAATTTAATGTCAAAATGTCAGTGCCCCATGGGACAAATGGAAGACTTAATGCTCGTTTTAGCTAAGACATTCTCTTTCCAATTACATTTATATTAAATCTGAAAAGGCTAAAAATCTAATAGGGAAAGCCTGGATAACCAGTTTCTGATTGGGAAAATACCTTCACTTCTTCACAAGCATTTACAAATACATTGACAGGTGTCAATTTCCGATTTAACAGCTACAGTTGAATTCCAAAGTGAGCAAGACAGTATCCTGTATGTTTTTTGTTTTGTGTTATTTTTCCCACATTTCAAAACTGCAACACAGGCAAGTATATTAAAACAGTTTGGTATGAAAGAGAAACCCTGCTCCAAAACTAGTCACAGACTTTCTTCATCTGAATATTAACCATATTGAATACTTTTTTAAAAAAGAAAGAAAAATCTGTGACCTTTTTAATTTTTTTAAATAAATTATTTGCCTTTTTATGATAAATCCACATTTCATTCTAAAGTAGAGGACAGAATATCCTTTAATTAGTTATTCTTGAAGTGTATTAGCCTTTCCACAGGCACATGAGATACTCAGTTCTAGACAAGTGATGTCCTGGTTATTGTTAGTTTTTTTTAATAGAACTTTATAATATTTCATCAGTGTCCCCAACTAGGATCTTAGGAGAATGAGAACAGTCACCCTGGGACAACCTCCATTTTAGGGAAGAAAAGAAGACACTGAGATAACTAGAACAGAGACTCAGTCTACACAGAGGCGAGGGTAGGATGGAAGGACATGTAATCTGCTTACAAGAATTGAGCACTGCAATTTTTTATTAATTTTTTTACATCATTTTTACACAATATTTGCTTCATTTTTACACAATATTTGCTTCCCTCCCACCTCCTCAGGTGTCGTCCCCATAGAATTTCCTTCACCAATGCACCTGTGCACCATCACCACAGCCCCCTGGAGCCCTGCAATTTTTATGTTGATGCAGAGCTAACTAGATTTGGAAAATACCAAGTTCGGAGCATACATGGTTTAGAAACAGTTTCATTCTTCATAGGGGGATTCTACAGAGAGACTAATCAAACTCCATTATCCCTATTTCCTTAGCTTCCTGGTTTCACCTTAGCCTGGCCAATGGCACAAATGTCATGGTAAACATTGTCCTATTGGAAACCTTTAAGTGATTTATTTTTCAATCAGAAGGAAATAATAAGTCCTTGGACATAAATTAAAATTATTCAGAATTTTAATGCCCTAATACACAAACTCTTTGATAAATTTCTTTTTCAGAGACAGCACATAAACCCAAAATGACTTTTTTTACTTTAAGAACTTCCACAGCCCAATATACTAAACAAAGTTAGTTGGCATCAATATGGAAAAGCAAAATTTGGAAAGATTTTGATTTTTTTTTCTTCAGGTCTTTAGAAAAATCACAATGGTCCTCAGCATCAGCATCAGAAACTCTCTTTTGGAATCCCAGTTCTGCAGTCTTATATATATATATATATATATAGTCTTATATATATATATATATATATATATATATATATATATATATACTTTCAGCAAGGAATTCAGCCCCTTCAGATCCTCATTTATGAAATAAGGGTTATAACAATTAGCTTGTGAATTTTCATGGGGTTTGCAGATTGTCTATGTAAAGCATCTATCAAGGTTAGGCAGAGTCTAATTTTGGTACATTATATGAGTAGTTTGGTTCAATTTATTGTTATTCTTTAAAACAATTTTAAATGTTCATTATATATTCCATAACACCAGGGTGTGCACTGCACTATGACTTTTGAGTGAATTAGGTTTGAGGGTACTTGAATATGTGCCAAGGAGTTTGAAATTTACTCTGTATAGCAGACCTCTCCTGTCTCCCCTGCTGCTCCCCTCAGCAGTGTATTTCAGTAGATCCATGTGTTCTATTCCTTATTCTGTCTCTGGTGATCCTCTCACCTCCCAAACCTCTGGCCTATACCCCAGTTCTTGTATGCATAAATAAATCTTTTTTAAAAACTGAAATTTATTCTATAGACAAATGTGAACTCTTGAAACCTGTGGTACAAGGATTAGCTTTAACAAGATTGAGAGCTGCTACCACAAGAGGCAGTATGGTATAAAACATCCTATATTGGGGGTCAGGAGGCAATTGGATAGCTTCATTCTGTGACTTCCCTATTGTGTGAACGGGAAACTCAATGAACATCTCAGATGTCCACTAATTTCCAGTATTTGTAAAGTTGGACTAAAATCACCCCTTTCCCAGTTGAAATGTTGAGGAAAGGAGAGACACTAGATGAATGTAAATTGCTCCTTGTAGTTCCTTTTTTTTTAAATTTTATTTTTATATTCCCCATACAATTGCAACCCCCCAATCCCTCCTCTCACCACCCCCGACCCCCCATAGTGTGTCTCTGGTTCATAGTTGTTTGTTGATTTTGATTTTTTCTTTCTTATAGTTATTCTTTTTCCTGGTCCCTTATTTAGGTTTTCTAGATTCCTGCTATGAGTGAGACCATCGGTATTTTTCTTTTTCTTTCTGGCTTATTTTGCTGAGCATGATCCCTTCCAGTGCCATCCATGTTGCTGCAAATTGCATGTGTTTCTCTTTTTTGAATGCTGAGTAATATTCCATGGTATATATGTACCACATCTTCTTGATCCAGTCATCTATTTTTGGGCATTTACGTTGTTTCCAAAGCTTCCTTGTTGTTCCTTTATTGCCTGCTCTGCCTATCATGGGGGAGAGTTAGTATTATCATAGTTTCTGAATTTCTCATGCAATTTTGGCTTAAAATGTAAGTGTGACCATTTAATGAATTGCAGAGACAAATGACCTGGATTGTGCTCCCAGTTCTGCCATGTTAGATATGTGTTTTCTGGGTACTGTGAGAGTCTCAGTGAGGGGTTAGTTATTGAGTACTATGCATATATTTCAATTGGGAGGAAACTGAAAAGGAGTACCAGCTGGGTCCTGGAGATGTGATTCGAGGGGAAGCTGTATCTAGAAGTTGCTTATGTCTCACAGCTACTGACCAGCAGTAACAGGCAGGTGAGGCTCACCACTTGTAAAGCTGCACTCTGGTGAACTTCCTTTTTCATTTTGCTCTGTTTGTGCCAGTCTGCTCAGCTGACTTTCAGTAGAAAAATTCTATCTAATGTGCTTCGCTTCTAGTGGGGTTTAGAACAGGCCAACATGGAAATCAGTGAGAGCTGGTACTACCTCATAACTAAGCCACACTCTTCCCTGATGCTCATCATGAGGTCCTCCCAGGCTCCCTATAGTTGATCTCATATAGAACATCTTACTCAGCCCTTTAGTCCCTCCTCACCTGGATCAAGCTGCTACAGGACTCCACTGAGGGTCTTCTGAGTGGGAAAGTTCTGCCAATTCCCTAGCAGAGAAGCACAGGCCTTTTGTCCTTCTAAGGCATGGGACCAGACTCAAATGTTCCCTCAGAGGCCAGGTCAATACCACAAGGATTCAAGAGGACTGAAAACCAAAGGATAGTACCAGGTCCATGGATTAGGGTTTTTTGTTTTTTTTGTTTTTTTTTTTTTTTTTCATTTCTAAAATACAGATCCAGAGTTTCCTTGTCTTCTTTTTCAAGAGAAACCCAAATCTGAGTTTTTTGGTTAAATGCTTTAATTTGGGCAAATAGATAAAATTTAAAAATGCATTGTCATTGACAATATTCTAGTTCTTAACTTGAGCAAAAAGTTCATGGGTGTTTGTTATATATTTTGCTTCAGGACTTACATATACCTTATATATGAGGTGCCATATACTTTTCACCCTAACTAAGGCAGTTTGAACATGTAAAGGAAATATGATTAATTTTTTTTTTAGGTATACACTGGAATTTTTTCTTTTCAAATATTGTCTCCTCCAGTCCCCTGTTTTGAAAGAATTGTAAAAAGAAATATTTGTGAAAGGGTATAGAAATGGGCATTGATGGATGGGCAGGAAGATTCTCAATTTAACATGTAACTTGTAGAACCAGTCAAGAGACCTGATCACTTTGAGGAAGCTAATGAGCTTTCCTTCTCTAATGAGCAAAGGCTGAAATACTAGTGTTCGATAGGGTAAAGCCAGATTAGGGAGTGTCTTAAAAACCATTGCAGAGGGTTTCACTCTTAAGCACTTGGTGATAGGAACTACTGTTTGTTCTTCAGAGGGAGTGGGCAGTGGAATGCAGAATGGGCCAGAAGAACATAACAGTAAAGACAGAAGAAGAATTTTTAGGAACTACTAGGATGCAGAGCATAGTTTATTAATACATTCAATAAACATTCACTAAACCATAGTGTGGTGCGTACTGTCCAATGAGCTAGGAAATACAAAGATAGGAAGAACACAATCCAGTGGGGTAGTGAGAAATTTTTTAAAAATCACATTTCCATGAGTAGCAGAGGTGATACTACAGTTGATATTTATGGGAAGATTGGAACCAGCCAGACTAAGGAATTGGGGAATGAGAAGAGCATCCCAGGCAGACACAGAAATACTAGTGAGACATCACTAGCAAACAGACAAGGGCCAAGCTATGAGCTTGAACCAGACTGAAGAGAAGGACTCCAGGACTCAAACAGCAGAAGGACATTTAAAGAAAGTGGAAAAGGGACCTCCCTGGTGGCACAGGGGTTAAAGACAGTGCTATCAAGCAACTGCAGCATGAGTTCCATCCCCTGCCGGCTAGGAAGCAACCCACACATAAAACAGCAGGCCTCTGCTGTCTCTCCCACTGTTCTCCTCTGCAGTGTATTTCAGTGGATCTGCCTGTTCTGCTCCCCACTCTATTTCTGGTGAATCCTCTCCCCCTCACCACCTCTGGCTTACACCCCAGTTCTTGTATACATAAATAAAAAAATCTTTTCCAAAAAAATAAACAAATAAAGCAGGAAAGCTCTGAATGGTAGCAGCAGATAGAGGATGACAGGCGCAATGTTGCAGCATCACAGAAGCAAAGGGAGGAAGTGGAGTTTCAACAGCACCCTTTTCACAGAGGCCAGGAAGAACAGAGACCCAGAAGAGGGATGGTCATTAGCGAGTTCCTACTTCCGTACCAAATAGGTTAAGATGACGCTAATTCGCCATCTTCACATAACTACCAACTCTGAAGAACCACCTTCCCTCTGTGTTAGACAGAAAGGGAAGTCTCAACCGCCCAGGCAACTGGGTTTTCAGTTTCCTTCTTATTTGCAGAGTTTAGTGCCCAGCACAGAGGAAGGAGCTGAGAGCTGTATTCTCTGGTGATTCAAACCAACAGCACGCCCAGTGACCACATCCCCATTCTGTGTGTGTGTGTGTGTGTGTGTGTGTGTGTGTGTGTGTGTGTGAGAGAGAGAGAGAGAGAGAGAGAGAGAGAGAGAGAGAGAGAGGAGAGAGAACAAGATAGTTTATGTGTTCCCCTGCACACTATGAGAGAAAAGACCAGGGGTTACTCTAGAATAGTGTTAAGATTTTTTAATTATTCTGAGTTGTGAAAAAAAGTAATAAACTGTCAAACTTCCTCAAAAAAAGAGGTCTTAGGCATTATCTATAATTAACAGCTAACTTTGTGGGGTTTTTGTGTTGATCCGTGTTGGCACTGTGTTATATAATTATTTTTATCTTGGGGTCAGATCTGAGTCATTCAGAGCCTGTGGTTTCTGGGCACTGATATGACACCAGGTGCTGTCAATACACATCTTACTTCTTGGATCTCTGTCCACACTGAGCCTCAATTGCAGGACCTGCATGTGGAATCACAAGTTATATGTTTTCTAACAGCAAATCCTGACCCCCTGCTGATTTTTTTTTTTTGGTAGTAAGTCTCCAATTGAGGAATGCTATATTGGCCGCAAGTTACATCTGTCAACCATATGGAAACAAAAAAAGATTAATAACCCAAACTGATAATTTTAGAAGTCAATTTTTACTTATAAAAACTACCAAAAGAAATTTAAATTATAGGCTTGTGATTTTTAGGTATTGATGCTTTTTATTCTACATGTTTAGTTCACTATTTACTAATATAACAGAAAAAGCATGTGCTGGCCTAGTGTAACTTGACCCTTAGTTCACTTTAGTAATAGTCAGGAGTTTTGTGTTTATTCTTTTTCTATTTCAGGTGCTGGTCTCAGTGTCAGTGATAATGAATCTGGTCAAGGCAGTCAGGAGGGAGGCACCTTGACTGACTCCCAGATTGTAGAACTAAGGAGGATACCCATTGCCGACACCCACCTGTAGCACCCTAGCCACCATTAAAATGAGGATCCTTTCATATTTGTATTGACTTCGTACTAAAACTCTATAAGTACATGCTCCATATTGTAGGAATCTGAATTGTAGTGGATGTTTAACCCAGAAGTGATTGTTGTGTTTGGAATGTAACACTTACCTTTATGCAACTTGAAAATTCACTGTTATAATGAAAAACTGGATTGGTTTAAATCTTTAATAGGATTTGCATATTCCAAGAATATTAGTTGTTTTTTAACCATTCTACATGGCTAACATTGTTTAATACAAGTAATAAATGAATAAAATCAATAGAATCCATTTGCTGTCATTAAGTTTCATTATTTGTGAGGAAAATATGCATGAGCAAAGAAACAACCTCTTGCATAGATGATGTCAAGTAACCTGTTTCTTCCAGCATTGATATGGGAGATGTACATGCAAGATTTTACAGCTCTGAGAAGACTTTCATTCCAAAAATACCACAAAATTGGTTGTTGCCTTTTCACCTGAGTGTATTTCTCCATAGTTTGCTTAGTCTTTCAGTAAAGTATGTATTTCTGCTCACAATAAGGTTAGGAATCTGAATATCTTCCAGGGTGAATATTCTGTCCCCAGGTAAAATTAACTCCATCAACATTATAGTACAGCAAAGAAGGAGATCATTCAACAGTATAGAATTTGTTTGGAAGAACTATTTCTTGTGTTGGCTTTTTCAGTCTTTCTTTGTCTGGAATAAAAAATCGGAAAGTCTATTCCAGAACAAACACTATTGTGTTCATGATGATTTCATTGCCTGTAGTTCCAGAAGAATCATTAGAAACAGAACAAGTTTGTCCTAAGGAAGCCTTTTTGACCTTTAATTTTGAAATTCTTGAAAGTGTTTGTCTATGAGAAAATTTTGTTCTGTTAATAATTTTCCTTAGAGCCATAATTAAAACATCCAAGTGCTCTATCATTGCTGAAGCATGGATTTATTTTTGTAAAACCTGAGCTGGCATTATTTATCTTACTACATTAAAAATTGGCTCTTTCCACTCCTCTTGTTGATCCCTCTCACATATCTCTCTCCATTTGAGTTTTGATAGGTGGATTGTTATTGTGATTAAAAACCAAAAGATGCACAATCAAACAACATAAAAACAAGGCTGCATCATTGGTGAAGTTATAACCCTTTTTAGGGACTTTAGAAATTGTAGTAATAAGACTGAATTTATCTTAAGTGACAAATAAGTCAGTTGTATTTCAACTTACAGCACTGTACTATAGTCTGTCCCATGATAGAGTAGAAGTAATTAATGGCATTGGTTGAAATACACAAAATTTAACATGAAAATTTTGAAATTAGTAAGCATTCTAAGATTTTAATGGGCTTCAATGGATTTGGTGCTCAGGTAATCATTACATCTGTAGTAATTACAAAAATGTGAGATTTAATTGTGTGGAATACATGAGTCATAATCACTGTAACATTTTTGGAAAATGATTAACTTTAGATGTTAGTTCTCCAACAAAGGTAATTGTCAATAGCTATTTTCATTGTCATATGTTGTCAGAATTTGGAAAGATTTGGCCAAAAACATGCTCAGTCTGGGACACCTTTCTTTAGGTAATACGGCTTTTATCACTGTACAAAACACTATCTTGAAAAGGAAGCAAAGAACCACCTGCCTCTGATTCTTTTAAATATTGGGAGGAAAAAAAAAACATGATTTCTAGAAACCACAGCGCTAAAACAAATAAACTTCATATTCCAACAGCAGCAATATTTTGCCATCCTGTTTCCTCCCAATGTGGATTGAAGTGGGACGTCTGCCAGGGAAGTGTGAAGTGAGATGTAGGAAGAAGCAAATAAAATAAAATTCTTAAGAATGAAAACTGAAAGGTTGGGGCTACAACTCTTCAACCATGGTCTTTTTCAAGTGGATTAATCCTCTCTTAGCACATGATATTTTTTAAAACAGCTTTATTAAGAATTAACATTTCATACAACTAGCCCATTTTAAAGCATGCAATTCAATGAATGGTATTTGGCATGTTACATTGTTGAGTTTTTTTAAATTATGGTAAAATATATATAACAAATTGACCATGCTAGCCATTTTTAGGCATACAATTCAGTAACATTACTTACATTCATCATAGTTGTAAAAATATCACCTTTTTCCACAACTTACTCCTCAACCCAAATAGAAATTCTTTATTCAACATCTCCATGCTATTTTCTTTTCTCAGTCAATAGACACCTGACATTTACTTGGCCAAAATCTCTGCTGCTGTATTTTTGTGATTTTTAAATTTGTTTTTGTTTGTTTTAGAATTTTTTTTCAACTTTTTCTATTTAGAATGGTTAAAAAAGGATTTTCCACCAACGTGGATACCCCGGGAGGTCACTCTCCCGGGCTCTGTCCAAGTGGCGAACAGGAGCGCAGGGCACTGCCCCATGATGTAAAGTCCCTTTCCACGACGTTGGAGATAAAGCTGGGCCCTGTGTCTGCACCTGCATATTCCTACAGCTTCTCAGAGTCCTCTAGACCATGACTGGGGAGACAAACCATGCAGGAAACAGCTATAGCATTAGGATTTAGGTTGATGGCAAACAGTTGGGTTTCATCAGTTTTGGACTGCTGGGTTTAAGCCCCTGTCTTGTTTTAAAAAGAAAAATAAAATAAAGATCGCCATTTGTAAAAAAAAAAAAAAAAAAAGGATTTTCCTAATTTGGATGCATATACAGACTATGTATGCAGGTGAGGATAGGGATAAAAGTAGAGCTAGTGAAATTCCTACTAATAATGAAACAGACAAGTGAAAATCTTAGTAAGTAAAAAAAGAATTTTCACTCAGGAACTTTAACTTTGAGTTGGTTTCAGTCTCTTGAGGTGTTTTAAGTTTAATAAATATACGCCATATTTCTAAAGTTTGATCAAAGAAGTTTAAATATGTAATGGGGATATGACTGAAAATAGAAGTGCGTCTCAGTGAAACAGTTCTGAAAAGCAGTGCTATACAAGATCAAAGGACAGTGCCAAGATTGAGGAAAGGTCACTGGCTGTGAGTTCTTACCCGTGTGCTCATTGCAAGACTGCTCAGGCTCACAGGACAACAATAGGATTTATTTAACAAACATGAGATTGGGAAAAAGAAAAGAATTTCTAAGGCCAAAAGAAGCCAGCTATCTCACCCCAGATAGTGTCCATAGTATCCAGAAATCCCAAACAAAAGGACTTGTTTGTACATGTTGGTGCTGTCCTATCAATAAGGGCCTGAAGCTTATGGCGCACCAGCAAGCAGTGGGTCAGGGTCCAACTCACAGTGGCTTTTGGAGGGGCTCATAGTTAGGGTTGTTGAGGTGACGCTACAGTAGCCCACAGTAACATTCTGAAGAGCGGGTTGGACAGTACCAGACACTGGATTGGCCAACAATGGAGGTAACCACACTGGGAGGTAGTGCCAATCACCATTGGTCACCAGGATGCAGTGTCAGACACACCCAGTGCTAACAGCTCTTTTGAGCTGTTGGCCTACACCATCAACAAACAGTTTTTTGAGACACTGGACATGATCACAGATCTTTGAAGTTTGATTTGATTTTTTTTTTTCAATTTAGGAAAGTACTTGACATGTCTGTCTGAGGAGCTGGGGGTCCCTCTAGACTTGGGGAATGAGAGGGACTGACTACCCAAAATCTAAGCCCCGTAACCACCTGATTTGGATCCATTCCTTTGGCACCTCAAATGGTTAGCACTGCAGACATAGGGGTGGCCAGAATTAGACATATGCTTTGCTAGAGGTGAATGAGTTCCTGTCCAATATTAAAGGAGTAAGACTAACTCCCTGGCTCTTGCTCAGGGTGGGTCAGTGCTGTTATGTCCTCACAGATCATGGACTATGGGAAACTGGGAGATGCCAACAAACTGGCCATGGGTATGACTGACTGCTGACTCATGGAAAAGATTTGATACCAAAAGTTGTTTCAAGTATTTGTCCCTTAGTTTCAAGATCAGATGGAGGCTGCAGGAGAATGCTGCAGATCCCAAATCAGAGTAAGCAGTATCACGCCAAGATGGCGGTGGTGGAGTATAAAGGGAACTGCCTCACCCACCCCTGCCATGGCCAACAACCTTACATTGGTACACCAGTGGCTGCAGGGCCTGCTGCAGGTCCAGGAAGCATGCATCCACAGCCCCCACCCTGCTCAAACACCGAGGATTTAACTGAGACAAAGGGCACATGGCCTTCATCACTGCCTATGATCATAGGCCTTTGAAGTTCTTTTAATCTCTCAGAAGAACTGGAGCAAAAGTTGTAAATGGATAATCTTAATGGAGCCTAAAAACTCCTGGGGAACCAGATGATCCTCTCTTTGCATAATAGATAAAATACCTTGTATGCATATATGCAAACTGATTTTTGTTCTCCCCTTGGGATTTCTGGAGAGATTAAGAACTATCCAAATGTGCATTTTACCTGGAATAGTATATTCACTGCAGGATGTCCCCAGAAAAAAAAAATTAGGGATGTACTGATAGCATTTGTTTTATAACACTAATGAAGGAAAAAGATAGTACAAATCAATTTAAAATCACTTATTTTGGATTTGGACTATGATATTTATTTCAAAGCTAAGTGTACATATATAGGTGTACATGGAAAGAGAGATATTTTAAAAAATTGTGAGAATCTAGAGCAATAAAAGCAAGGAAAGTCATGATAATTAAACAATTCCCCTTAGAGTTTATAATGTACAATTAAAAGATATTTTGAAAAATTGATTCATGAATTGCAAAAACTGTCCATCATCCTATCATATAGTAGTTTATATCCTTACTCTATGTCCATCAAAATCACTTTGAAGATTTTTGCCAAAAAAAAGAGGTAAGTAGTAACCATTTCATGAAAGATTTGAAAAGGTGAGCACACCAAAAAAAAAAAAAAAGCTTAAAACGTGCCATGAAGCTATCAGGAACATTATAGTTTCTTTCCTGAGTGTTCTATCAAATAACACAGGTACTATGTAATAATTGGGTGGTTACTTCTTTTATTTTCTCTTTTTTTATATTGAGTACTAAGTTAGGGGCATACAGTTTTCAATACATGTTATTATTATTGTTTTTGCCTACTTTGTGAGTAGTACCTACAATTAAGTGCTGAGGTTCAACTAGTAAACATTTTGTGGAAAATTATTATTTTGGATTAGGCTACTTTGGAACCAGAGTAACAAAATAATTTACAAAGGGTGACTCCATGCACCAGGTATCTGAGTAGGACTTGTTGCAATAGCTTCTTGTTTTCTTTCAAATCTTACCTTAAGTTTCTTTTTATTTAATTATTTTTAAATGTGGTATT